TTTGTGCGTTCGAATTTTGAAGGGATTTATACGGCCCTCCATTGTTTGTCCGCCCCCTTCTATTCACAAGATAGGGATAAAAACATTTCGAACGTGGTTACACCGGTGTACAACGGAAACAAAATTATTCCGACCACTGTATATGGTAAGAAATGTGCATGGGCACTTCGGAATTTTTTTGTGACACGGGGTCCCTGGGGGTGGTTGATTCTAAGTTTACAACGTATTTTCTGCTATCTACCCATTGTATCGACCATTTGAGTTAAAAATATGAAACGTAGCTGCAGTATCATTTGATTTTTTTTTTTGACTTGGGGTGTGGTCCTGGGGGTGGTTGAATATAATTAGACGTTGTAATTTCTGCTATCTACTTTTAGACCGTATAAGTTAGGAACGAAAGGCTATGGGGATTGAAAACATGTCTCTAGGGATGTGTATGGGTCCTTCTGGTTTTTTGATGACATAAATTGGGGCCGTCCATGGGGGTGGTTGATTCTATTTTTTGCATTGTTATTTCTACTATCTACCCTTAGAGGTAGGAACATGAAACGTTGGGGATTGATAAAGCAGTCACTTTTTAAGAATGTGCATGGGTCTTTGAGGAATGTAGAGAACAGCAGCAGCGCACAAAGCACTAAACGGACTTACAGCGGCTGTAGGCATGAATATAGGTCAAGGAATACAATTGAAAACTCATTCAAGGCCCTACACACTCAGAAATCCTGGCGTTCAACTAGCCGTTGTGTCTTAAATACAAAACAAACATGTAATTGGTATGTGTGTCGCTATACAGAGGCCATGCATGCACAAGGATTCCTGAAAGTACGGGATCTAGCACGGGTTTTTAATTAACTTGACCTACATTCAAGCATGGTCTCTATCGCTGAATGCCTGTTATTAAGTGCTGTCTACTGCTTTCATTGCATCCCCCTTCCTTCTTAACTCGAAGACCGCTTTCAGATTCACACATCCTACTAGCTGGGTCGGTCCAACTCTGCAGGGGATCTCCCGCAAGAAAACGCAGTAGATACTCCAGCGCAGTAGACTACTGCAATCATACTGCAAACATGCTTCAAATCTGCTTCGATTTGGGAGCTAATTAATTAGCATATTTGAAACATGCTTCTATCATGCTGCTAATCTACTGCATCAATGCTCCTCTCTGTACAAACCTATGTACTTTTTGGAGTAGAATTGCAGTAGGCTATGCTGCATTTCTCCTGCAAATATGCTCCACACCACTACTGCGTTAATGCTTCTTTGCTACTTCGATACTACTGCATTTTTGTGCGGCCTCACTTAAGTGCAATCAGTGGAATCAGCTTAATTGTCTGACATGCCACCAATCACCCCATCCCCCTCAGGGACAGTCACACCCGAAGTCACACTAAAATCCCCCCGTACCCATGCACCAAAGACTAGCTATTCCTAACTCGAATGGTCTAGAAGGAGATGAAAGAAATTACGGTGAAAATATTACACTTAACCATCCCCAAGTCACCAAAAATTCCGATGTGCCTAAGCACATCTCTAACGATCTCAACCACCCCCAGGGACAAACACACCCTAAGTCACAAAAAATATGAAGTGCCCACGCACATTTCTTACGATAGTGTAGTAATCCCCAACACTTTTATTTCATATTTCTAAAGATATAAGGGTAAATAACAGAGAATACAATGTAAAAATTACAATCAACCACCCCTAGGAACGGCCACACCCCCAATTTACAAATAAATTAAAAGTTCCCATGTACATACCTAACAATATCTTCATTATTCCATGGCGTTTCAACTTCTTAACTCAAATGGTTTAGAAAATTCCAATGAGAAATACATTATATATTTTCCCCGCCCCAGAGGCAACCTGACCAGTTTCAACGTACATAGTCGAAGCAAACCCGTCCCCACTCCAATTCTACCTGTTTCGTACTTCAAACTATTACAGGGACTTAGAAAACAAATCTGGTTGCAAAATGCGTTGCAGTTGCAAAATGCGTTCAGTTGCAAAATGCGGCTCTACTTAGTAGGACCGCATTTTGCAACTGAACGTATTTTGCAACCAATTGCAAAATGCGGTCGGTTGCAAAATGCGGCTCTACAGGCCCCTAAAATTTGCTTCGTTGGTACTAATCGGGTGACCAAGGTTCATTGGTACCATGGGAAAGGTCCTTTTGTCAGAAGTCAGATTATGTGTGATTGGTACCGATGGACCCATCTACCTGGCAGATTGATGTGCATGTACCCCATACGTACGTTCTACTTCAGTGACGTGATATACTGTAGAATAAATCACCACCACGGTATCAGTGACTGCACGTTCGGTGAAGAATTTCCAGTTTTTGATGAATTGGCAGCATTGTTAAAAAACAGAGAGTATTCTTAATTTTTACGTAGTTCGACTTTTTTGATCGGAAGTCTTTAAATAAAGGTCTGTGTATATCCTCCATGAAAACGCAGTAGATACTCCAGCACAGTAGACCTACTGCAATCACACTGAAACCATACCTCAAATCTACTTCGATTTAAGGTATGGGTGAGGTGTATATATATATACTCCCCAGAGTAGAATTATACTGTAATCATGCTTCACAAAATCTCAGTTAGAAATGAGACATAATGCTTCACCGAAGTAGTACATTAATACCACGTTTCTGCTGCTAGTACAGCATTTTCGATCGAAGTAGCATCAATTACGGGAGCAGTCTTCTAATTTATATATACGTCACAGCGAAGTGGGAATACAACAGCCTGGTTTTGAAAACTATATGCTAGATGCTTTTCTACAACTAAGTTTGTGTCATCTCTACCCTGCTACAAATCTGCTGCTTAAAACATTGCGATTGTGATCAGCGCGTTTTGTTCTACTTATAATTCTACTACAGCGTGGACTTAAAGGCATACAATGGTCATGTCGAAAAATGACAGACAGTGCACCTTTACTTAATGTATTGTAAACATAATCCGTCGTAGTCCGTCAATACTAAATTGCTACGTCAACATCACACGGAAATCCGTATTCAATTTTACCGTATGATGCCCTTGTTGGCCCCCACCTGAAAGAGGAAAAGGCGTCTAGAAAAGCTCTTTCCTTAAAGAATCATAGGGCCCGACAATTTTCACTGTGCACGAAGATAAATAGTTAGGTATGCCCACAATAAATGAAGATGCGCCAACATATAGATAATCGCGATAGTATTATGTCGAAATATCAAAATGAATAGCCGTGCCGTTCGACCCTTTAATCCAAACCAAAGCAACGGAGAGGGGGTCACGTGATCATTTGATCTACACCTGATAGACAATGTAAACAATGGATTTCCACTCGAAGCTTGCAGATTTTAAAGATTCCCACGCGTTGTTTCAGTAAAAAAAATACGTCGTAGGTTTTTTAAATCGATGTCAATATTGACAGGAAATTATATGTTAGAGAATTGGAGAAATATATGTATTTATGTAATTTGCTAAATGATGACAGAAATCCACGGCAAAAAGGTATGCTGTTCAGCCCGTGTGTACCGTATCACTTACTACAATCACATGCCACACTACACTGTGTCATGATTGTGCAGTTACCTGTGCTCTGTATTGTTAGACTGGGTGCAGTTAAATTCTCAGGTGTGTTACAGTGCATATCACTCAAAAACACTACTTGTCTCCACATTTCATATTGGTAAATATAACAAAAATCCATGTGCAGAGTTTTACAAACTATGTATCTAAGAGGCTGGCCAGCTGCTTATGTAGCTGCACGGTGCTCAAGAATTTTTTGGAAAAAATATGTAAGTCCTTGCACAACATTGTAGAATTATAAAGGCTTTTATATTCAAGAATATCTTTAATTGCAGAGGTTTAATTTAAGAGAAGTCTGTGTATTGTAATTAATGGCACCATTGTCCAGTAACAACAGCACACTAAAAGAAACTTCAACCCACACTCAGCAAGGCCTTTATGTTTTTTTTAATGTTAAGACCTAAAACTTTCTAGGTTACTACCTCACGACAAGATACTGTGTCAAACACCCCCTCTTCCATTAAAAAACATGTTTTTGTGCCCTTCAGCAATTAATAACATTTAAATAATGGTAATAATAAATCCATATGTATGCCATATATTAAATTGTATTCTAACCTGCTAAAGTTTGGTGTTTGCTAAGGGCCTTGAAAACGCACTCTGGTGGCATTTTGTCCCTCATTCTAAACGGTCTGGGTGGATACTGTGTTATTGTTTAGTTGCAGTGGCGTATCCGGAAGGACAGTGCGTCCTGTACCCCGGTAGTATATTTCAATTCATTGGGTGTGGCATCCGTGTAGGTGCATCAGTCTGTAACTAACTCATAACTCTGTAATTCTGTGCGGACCGTAGCATGTGACACACTAGTCTGTCTGACAATGTCTGTCTATTTTGCACCATGCTGGCACAAAAAAACATTTTTGTAAAACACTGCTTAATTTATTTTACGCACTGCAAAACCGACCGCTTGCATGCAAAATTTCAATTTCTTCTATGCAGATGTTGCCAACATATGGATACTTTTTACAGAACGTTTGTTAAGCCTCTCTTGTGGTCCTCAAATCAAGTTCGGTCCCTTGGTTCTAAACTGTTTACAAGAGGCTCTGTTCTGGTCCTACACCTGTAAATGTCCATCATGACGTGTTCAAACGTGTTCCCCAAACGTGTCCTTGGCTGACTCTCTTTTGGGCCCCAAACTTTTTCTGCGGTATAGTCTTCATTTGGAAACCTGCCAGTATGAGGTTCGGGGGAGGGGAGGGGACTAATTACTTGCAGTAAAGCAACTCAACTAACGGTCATTTGGTTGATTCGTGAGATCAACGGACTAGCTGGCTATTATTTCACAGCATAAATTGAAAGATATAAATTGCAGAGTAACCTTGTGTCGCAAGGATACTACTTATAATTATTTATTCCCTTCATGTTCCCCCCCCCCCGGGCACTTGTTATTGATACTCCGTATCTTGATTAATGTGGAAGAATCGAAAGATGAAAAGAGCGCCCAGACATGCTTTTGACAGGTTAGGTCACGAAGTAACGGATACGGCATCTCAGGCCACAAAATATGGCTTCACAGGGCAGTGAACAAAATCGAGAAATTCCCCTCTCCGACAAAATTCCGAGCATATACGGTCACATGTCTTTACAACAAATCAGTATCATTATACTGAATTCTATTACTGTTCTATTACTGATGTTGTATTCAACCATCTAATAAAATTTGATACTTGACGAAAATTTTATTGCAGGATTTTACAATATCACTACTTTGCACCATTGCTATTATATGGCGCAGCCCGCACGAAAACGCAGTAGATGCTCCAGCACAGTAGACTACTGCAATCATACTGCAAATATGCTTCAAATCTGCTTCGCATTGGGAGCTAATTAGCATATTTGAAACATGCTTCTATCATGCTGCTAATCTACTGCATTAATGCTCCTCCTCTGTACAACCCTATGTAATTTTTGAAGTAGAATTGCAGTAGGGTATACTGCATTTCTACTGCAAATACAGGTATGCTCCACACCACTACTGCGTTAATGCTTCTTTGCTACTTCGATACTACTGCATTTTTGTGCGGGAGAGTACAGGTTCCAAACAGGTATAGCTGCAAACAGTAAAATTGTTTGATATTAATAAAATATAAACAATAATGTTGATCAAAATAACTAAACCACTCTGCAGGCTAACTGTCTACGGGTTATTGCCAAGATGTGTTTAGTTTATATACGACTTGCATTATTCGTCTCGTTTTCGATATTGAGCGCAATGCATTGTGGGTAAAGTGGGACCCATCTTGCGTTGCCGCCATTTCTGTACACAGAAATAAAATGCCTCTCGGCAGTTTTATGTGTTTTGTGCCTGTTTGTTTCAATAATACGGAGCGAGATCGAAATTTTTCATTTTATGCTTTTCCCAAGGACCCAAAAAAGAGAGGTATAAGGATTGACAATATTGGACGAGCGGGAAATGAAGGCAAATTTAGTAAGTTCGAGCCCGCCAAGCATCACCGTGTGTGTAGTGCTCATTTTGAAGGAGGGAATAAATCGTATTTGGGTTTATAACACTCTCCTCTAGTTCGGGACATTTACAGAATATCTTAACCTCTCTCTCTCTCTCTCGTCATAAATCAATATATATATATATATATATATATATATATATATATATATATATATATATATATATATAACTTTACCTTTAAAAACAGTGCATTATACCAATTCATTTCCCGATTTATTTCAGAGACCTACGCGTTCTTTGGACGGGTAGTTTTCTAATTATAGAGCATGACGTATGGAAACATTTTTATTATACATATACTCTGCAATATTCACTTGAACATCATTAATTATTATAAGTAATATTATTAAAATAATGCATAAGTATTTTACTTTTAGGTGGAACCATGAGTAGCACAGAGCAATGCTTGTTGGTTGTAGGCATAGACTTCGGTACGACATATTCTGGTTATGCATATTCATTTAACTATGAATATGCCCTTGACCCCTTAAAGATTAACGTGAACAAACTTACGCGAACAAGCCATGGAGCCAATTTTTACAAAGTACCCACAGCTATCCTGTTCCACCGTTCACGCACAGATGATCAAAGCGTATACTTTGGCAACGAGGCAGAGGAAACATACGCAGATCTAGTGATTGAGAAAGAATCACACAATTGGCTCCTGTTTCGACAATTCAAGATGAATCTTTATTACGTAAAAGTAAGTTGAAATTATACATATTATATTCAATTGACTTTAAAATACTCCTACACGTATGGCCCGTATATAGCCCAAAAGTGGCCATAACATCTGAACCAAAACTATTGTCTACTTTCACAAAAGATTTGGTAGTACCCCAATGAAATGGAATATTGCACCTCATTCATAACAGGAAAGACATGACTTCGTTTTATGGCCAATACTTTCTTTATCTACTCGTAAGTTGGATATTTTTGGGCAGAATTGGCCTTCGGTAGACATTTACTAAAAAATCGATACATGTTCCGGTTCCCAGATTATATTAAACAAAAGTGCCTCTAAGAGAATCGTCTGTCTGTCAAGTGTAAATAGATAAGAATAATTGATAAATGTTTGAACGTCGGTGATTTTAAAAAACTTCGTTCAGATAAAAATCCAACAAAAACATATGGGTAAAGAATCTTGGTAAACCTTTAAAGCTTCAAAACTTATTCACCCTTTCAATAAGGTACTATTTTAGATGTTAACCAGATGTATAATAACTAATAAACCTGTAAACTAGATTTCATTAATACTGAGATTCCAACCCACACTTAAAGTTATCCAACAGATAGACACACACAAATGCCAGGGATTTCGTGCTTTTTCACCCTATGTAGAGATATGCTCTGCATCACCTTGTAAGTGCTTGATATTTGTTTCAGAATCTTAGTCGTGAGACCATGTTAGAATCGGCCTGTGGGGTACATCATAAGGCTTTGGACGTGTTTTCAAAGTCAATAGGCTACTTTAAGAGGCACCTGATGGAATCGGTTAAAAATGAAGTAGCTACCATCACCATGGATGATATAAATTGGGTTATCACTGTCCCGGCAATTTGGAATGATGCTGCAAAACAATTTATGACGGAAGCGGCGGTAGAGGTACATGTAGCTTAAATAGACCCCATTCCCAGAGATTGGATCAATCCAACTAGATCGACCTAACTCCCCGGGGGTTCACGTTAAATAGCTGTCGGCCGAGCGGGCACGAAAGTTAATTCCCCCCTTACAGCTTGTAGTAGGCGGGACGGACATTTAAGCCGGATTATCTGACAGTAATCTAATGAGACTCCGCACGGGGATAGATCGATCTAAAACCTATGGGAATGCACCCTTAAATTTCTACCTACAAGCAGATGTTTAATCTATTTGGACGTAGGAACTGATTCACCTACCTTTGACTTCGTGAGCTTAGAGGGATTTTTTGTGATCATTTCTTCCTTTATCATAGAGTGTACTCTTTCACAACTCTGAGGAAGTGAGAGAGAGCCCCCCTCTCCTCTGTGTAACTGAACTCATACTCTGATTGACTGATCCAAATGGCACCGTCCAATCAGTTTACACCCCATAATTCTGTCTCATTAGTGCCGCTTGAAAGTAATTAAGTTTAAGTGTAAACAACAAAGAGAAGACATCCTGACTGAAATTAGGTAAGAAATATCTGGAGCTTATATTATAAGAGCCAAGCTCCGTGGGAAGCTTATCAACACTGATAATCTCATCCCACATAGATCATTTTACTGTGACCAATAAATTATATTTATTGATGTGATACATGTTTGTTCAGGCAGGAATAAAAAAGAATCACCTCATGTTGGCCCTGGAGCCAGAAGCCGCGTCCCTGTATTGCCGCATTCTACCCGTTGATAGGAACGAAGATGCCAGCAACCAAATCAACGCATCCCAACCAGGAACTAAGTACATGACACTGGACATAGGAGGTAATTAAACAAATATTTTAAGAACAAAATATATGCAAACGTGCTCAATAGTATTTGGTAAAAATACACCCTGGCACATTGATCGATAAACGAATCCTAAAAAAAAAAACCACATAAAAGTCTAAAAGAAAATTGGCCGGGTGAACAAATGAAAATTGGGATAATATAGTGTTAATAAAAACATTTGGGATTTATTTCCATTTTTTCATGAAAAGCATCATATTTCTTATATAGGAGGCACGGTCGACGTGACAGTCCACCAGATAGAGAGTGATGGACGTCTCACGGAAATACACAAGGCATCTGGCGGTGCTTGGGGCGGAACAAGGGTAGATGAAAACTTTATCAAAAAGTTACATCAGTACTGTGGACAGCAAACGTACGAAGAATTTGCCACAGAACACCCTGCAGATCGTGTAGAATTGCAGCATTATTTTGAATTGGCTAAGAGACGTACAACAAATGTTCTAGAGGGTGAATGGATTAATATCCACATTCCTTACGAGCTGAAATGCAAATGGAATAGATCAATTGAGCACTCAGAATACAAATGGGCTGGAGATAAGATTAGGATGAAAAGGGAAGTATTTGAAAAGCTGTTTGAGAGTTCCATTCAAAGTATCATTAACCACTTGTATGAACTGTTCAAAGCCCTTCAAAATTTAAACATAATGTTTTTGGTAGGTGGTTTCTCAGAATGTCGAATTCTTCAAGATGCAGTAAAGCGCGAGTTTCAGCAGCGTGTGGCGGCAATTCGTGTGCCCAGAGATGCGGGGTCAGCGGTGATGCTGGGGGCGGTACTATACGGCCATGATCAGTCCATGATTTGGAAGCGCATCAGCCGTTCAACATACGGTGTTGGCGTTTGGACAGATTTTGACCCAAAAATCCACTCTCCTGGCAAAAAGTGTGTAGTTGAAGGTAAAGAATGGTGTAAAGATACATTTGATACCTTTCTGAAAGCTAATCACACGTATGAATGTGGACAAGAAATTCACAAAGTTTTTCATCCACTCAAAAGTGATCAAAAGGAAGTTAGTATTCCAGTGTACATTTCACAAAATGTAGAAGTCAAGTACGTTACAGACCCCAACTGTAAAATGATAGGCTGTTTACGTCTTGAAATGCCCGACACAACACTAGGTAAAAACCGACCGATCGATGTAACCTTCAGAGTAGGAGGCACAAATCTTCAAGTGTTTGCCATAGACCGACAGCATGCTGAGACTGTTCAAGCTCAATTTGACTTTCTGTCACACAACTAAATGTGGTTCCCAAATCGACCTATCTGAACTGAACGTCAAATTTACTGAAATGTAAACAGCACTAATTTAGGGACCCCATCGTATGTGTCAGTAATTTTGAGTGCCTAATTTAAGAACAAATAGTGCAGTAAAGCCAAAAAATTTAAGTTGTCTCACCAAAGCTGATCATTGAAGTCATGACATGTCCATGTATTTTTGGTTTCATTTTGAAGATTTTTGACTGTCGGATCTGCACTCACACGTCAGGTACAAGTGAAGCTAAGCCCCCGGGTCACTTGTTCATACTGTACAGTGAAGAAATGTGGTAGGCAACCTTGGAATTTTCTAGTGATTATAATTGTAGGTATAAAATGTGTCTGACTAAATGGTGTAGTGTTACATGTCTATGACACATTTCGAGGACACATGTTGCAGAAGAATTGTCTCTCATTTCGGAAATTAATCGGTCATTCTTTATCGGGGAAAGGAAGGATGGACGTGTCCTTATATACAAATGGCAAAAATTTCTGAGCTGTCGAAAAAATATTTTTCAATTGTACCACATGACCGATGTCTACCTCCGCCAAGGAGGTTATGTTTTCACCCCTGTTTGTTTGTTTGTGATCAACATAACTGAAAAAGTTATGGATGAATTTCGATGGAATTTTTAGGGTAGGTCAGAAATGGGTTTACTTAGAAGTGATTAGTTTTTGGTGGTGATTCGAGTCAATAATCAATCAATAATCAAAAATCAAAAACCTAAGTTATGGACCGATTTTGATGAATTTTTCAGGAACTGTCAGAAGTGGGCCAAGGAACAGATGATTAGTTTTTGGTGGTGATCCGGATCAATAATCAATCAATAATCAATAATCGAAAATATAGAAAATTTAGGGGTGAAACGGCATTGGATGGAGACTTTGCTGCCTTGGTGGAGGTCTGCACTCTCTGAGTGCTTTTCTAGTTCTTAATGTGTCGATGTGGGCTCATACATATATAGTTTATTTACTTTGTAATAATATATTCCGTCAGTCTCATACACAGATCACACATACATAGCAGATCTGATATATTTGTCTGTATTTTCAGACGATGCTTAGCAGGTACAAAATCATTAACTTCTTGAATATATGAAGACTATTAAGTGGTCAACATTCATTTAGTCATAACGTCAGTGCCATTTTTAAATTTACAAGTAGTTTTGTATGAAAACAGTTGTTAAAGATAGGAGGGATTTTCAAAGTGCAAGTGTAATTAGTGCAACGTGTATACGGTCAGACTTGTTCGAACCATTGTATTCAAGTGTGATATTATGTTATATAGCTTTATTTTATATATTTTATGCCAACTGTTAATGAAATCTTCTAATTTTAGTTATTACTATTTTATTCAGATATACAGTGATACTAGTAGTTAAAAATGGGTCTAGTTTGATTTATTTTAGCAGTGAAAACTTTCTAACATGGAATGCGCTTTATTTCATAATAGCTGTGTTGTATTTATAATTTTCAAAGCATGATTTTAGGATTATTTTCACATCAATGATATGGGATCGGGAGCTGCAAAAGAACAGGGTAGAAAAAGGGGGGGGGGGCAAAGCTTTAATGAATTCGGCGTATGTGCTGATTTATGTATAATAAGTGATCTTTGAACGGCTCTCCCACAACAGCAAATGCCATCGTTGTGAAGTAAATGACTTAACTTACGTTTGTAGTAATAGCAGGTAATAATTTAAGAGGAATCAAATAAGTAAAAAGAAAGGGAGTTATTGAGTGCAGTTAAATTTCTTTAAAAGTCGATAAGTGTGAAAAGTGTTTCAGTGGTATGAAAAGATGGAAAAGTTCAAAGTCAGATATAGTTTTATTTGATTGGTTAATTTTTCAATAGTCTTGCAATTTTTGTCGTGTGTATGCAACATGAGAACGGAAATTTTGATAATCAAACCACAGACTATGAAAAGAAATACAATCAGACACGTGATCAGTGCGGAGAAATAGAGTACAAATACATGCGGATTTGTATGAAAAGTGAGTTGGGAAATAAATGTTTGAAAGCTCCAGAAGGTCGTTGTCGTTATTATGATACTTTTATCACTTATGCCCCTATTTCACACAGACCACGAATCCCACGAATGGCCATGAATTGACAAATTTCAGGATACGTGGTTGAATCGTAATCAGTTCGTGAAGTTCTTAACAAATTCGTATATAATCGTAGTCAGTTCTTGCCATTCTTGATCAATCGGGAATTCATGGCAAAAACTTCAAAATTTTGGCCTCGAACTCCCGATTCCAAAAAATCGTAGAGAATTTCTGGACAATATTCGTGCGATTCCAGCCGAATCCCACGAAAATCCGTAACACTATCGCACCTGGGCCCGGTTGCACCAACCGGTCGTAAGTGAGGCGTAGCAGTTGCGCCGGCGTAAACCGGGCGCAAAATGCTACGCCCGAGAAAAGCCAGTTGCACCAAACTGGAATAGTGTTTACGTCGGTCTTAACTTTGTCGTAAATTTACGCCTGCTAGCTAGGTGGAGTAAGTCGGTCGTAGCTCGTTTTGCACTATGGCTAGGCTGACACAGAGAGAGTTTGATGACAATTATCGTAGTTAACGTAGATTATGTGGGTTGTTATTTGTTTGTTTCTTACACAAACTTCCGTCTGCATAGCTTGGTTTTTAAAAACTAATTATATTCACAATTTTTGACAAACCAAAACTAACCATAATCATTTTTTATTCACATTTTATATCATTCATATTTTACTGTATATAAACATAGAGACGAAAGCTTAAAATATCAACATTTTAAGGCTCATATAATATGTATTAGGTCTCTTGTATTTCTCAATCTCCAAGATGTAATATCGATTGAATTAAATGATACCTCACGGTGTAACCATAGATAAAAAAGGTCATGAAATTGCCGGCACTTAAAAATAAATTAAATTATAAAAAGAAAACAATGCTAGCTTTTTTGCATTATTTTCAGACTCAATAGTTTCGATTACAAATGTGAAGGTGTTCAAATCCATTAATGGATCTACGTACTGTCTCCAACGCGTTTTTCTCATTTACAACAGCATACTATAATAGCATACATAGCACACTATAATAATATTTTGATTCGGAATATAATTATGATTTTATTGCTATATATCCAAGGCAACAGCAAAGTTAACGTATTTTAACGTTCTTATTTCTAAATCAAAATGGAATAATTTAGCTCATGAATTTCTCCGTCACTGAAATGCTCCTTTTGTGTTAATTTATGTCATCATTCCATTATGACTGCAGCTGAGAACTCCTCATTTGCCCAATTATACCACCCACGTATTGTTGGCCAGTGACGCAACGGAGCGAAGTTGCGACGATCAGTTTTTGTCTTGGTGCAACGGGCGTAAGCAGGGAGAGTAAACCTGGCGCACGGATGCCAGGCGTTGCAGTTTACGACAGTCGTAGCAGAGTAAATTTACGCCCTGTTGGTGCAACCGGGCCCTGTATCGTAACTGAATCGTAGAGCGTGTCGAATTAGACCAGAAATTTGGCAAAATCTCACGAATCCTCACGAATCCTGAAATTTGTCAATTCCTGGCGATTCGTGGGATTCGTGGTCTGTGTGAAATAGGGGCATTACTGGGGTCATCACCAGTGTGATACATTGTATCATGTTGTACCAGTATGCTAGATACAAAGCAAAGGTGAGGCCTTATTCCACCCTTTGTTGTCTACCCTCGACGCTAAAAATATCCACGTCCTGTGGTAACTGCGAATCCTCCGTCACAGCGAGTATATTACTCCCGGTTTAAGTTCTTTTGTGTCGGTTCACGCACACGTGTGACAGCGCTTTAATCTTTTTTCACCAATATAAAACGCTACCACCTCTGCACGAAATATTTGTGCCATTAGTCACTTATAATTAATGCCTTGAAAAGTTTTAACAGGATGTTATGAGGCCTCACCTGCGTTGTAGGGGAGACCGGGGCTAGTTGGACCCCGGGGTAAGTTGGGCCCCCGTCTATTTATGAAAAAAGTAACTACGAGGTAAAAAAATTGGCCACATACTCTTACAAAGTGACCGTAGCCTACAATGCTAAGGAAGTGTCGGACGTTAAAAAGTTTTACTTAAGCGGTGAGACGAAATAAACTATTTTTGCACCTAAAAGTAATTTTGTTTAAGAGATTTAGAAATCTTTTTTCATAGGCTTATGATCGAATATAAGATATGTATAGGGAATCAAACTGAAGCTCATTGTTTCAAGTTTCACAGAGATGTATCATCGTTACTCATTCTAGCACCATAAATGGCTACCATCCTTTAAAATAAATAATGTGCACCCGGGGCTAGTTGGCCCCCTTGACTCGGGGCAAGTTGGACCCTCATATTACCCACACACCTTTGCGCGCAACGCTGTTTGAAATAAACAAGTTGGTGAAATTGACAAAGCTTGCCGGTGTCTACTACCGTCTGATTGATTTTTTTAATTTTCTCTCTGGTGTCTTTTTGAAAATTCATATAAGAAATATTCTGTTGATTGTAAGTATTAAAAAGCAAATCCATTGGACTTTCCGTAGAAAAACATTTATTTTGCCTTTATTCATTGTAAGGGGATTCCCTTTGTATTTATGGTGTTATATGTGGCCCCAAGGGGATTTTCCACCCCTCCCTAGCTAGAGACCATTGTTGAAACAAACTCAATGGTTTAAAACTGAATTTGTTACTTTCTTTTAAAAAGAAAATTTATTATTCGTTTTCATTCATTTAAAACCTTCTTTATACCATTATTTATTTATTCCTTATTAAAACAAAACACATTTTATTGATAGATATTTTGGTTCTTACAACACATACCCCCCCCCCCCCCCCCCCAACAACGTGACGTACGGAAACCTCAATAAATCTGCCTCATTTGAACTGTTTATTCATCAAAGACCCTCAAAAATCAATTAAATAAATTAAAATTTTATAAAAATGTATTTCCAGGCGTTTACATGGGATATATACTTCATTTTCGTATAGGGGG